TATGAATATGATAAATTCTCCGTTACGAATAAACGTCCACGTATCCTGAGAGCACATGAGAACGTGACATTGACCTGTTTTGGGGGATTGGGAAAGATTTCTCACACCCGGTCTTGAAGGATGAGTAAGAGTATGGCAGGCAGAGAATGAGGGCAGAGATGATGAAAGGAGGACATTCCAGGGGGTGAAAACAGTAAGGGTCAGTGGCTCGCAGCTAGGGACAATATTGCATGTGTGTGAGCACAAATACACCCACCCACACACCACACACAACCCCTCCTCCAAGGACTTGTGGCAATGTCTAGAGACATTTTTGGTTGTCATAAACGAAAGAGGAGTGGAGTTGTTGACATCTGGTGAATAGAGGCCAGAGATGCTGCTAAACATCCTACAACACACAGGACAGCCCCTACAAAAGTCTAAAATGTCACTAGTGACAAGGCTGAAAATCACAGGCCTAAGCAAAGGTACAAAATACATGCTGTGTTAGGTTAAAAATGAGGAGTTGCATGGAGCTTTGGCACGCACAGTGCTTCAGATGATTCCTTTTATGGAAGACAAAACCCATTAAGAAAAGAGAGGGGGAAAAATTAACTTTCTGAGAAGCCAAGATATAAGGCTGAATAGATGCTTTATTCTCAAAACAGGAACCAATAACAAAGCAAGTGGACCTCTGGAAGCCTAACGTATATTTCATTGTCCTATAAAATGGAAAGCATTTCTGTCAAGGACACCGTCCACGGCTCAAGTCCACTCCTGAGCAGTAGCCTGTATTCTTCCTTTCATGCACATGGTTAACTGAGAGTGAGGAGTGTGCAGAGTAAGGAGCACACTGAGAAGATGCAAGCAGCTTGCCCTGGCAGGACTTTCAGAGGGAGGATGCAAAGCTGATGTTAATGCTGGAAGAACTCATGTATAGGAATGGTCCAAGCAAGGAGAAAAGGAACCAACGAGCTCCACATCTAAAAAGGAAGTGGCTACAGAGAAAGCAGAACATGGTAGGACAGGGATGCTGTGGTTTGGGCTTCAACTGGTCATCAGGGTTGCTGGCAGGAACTGCTCCTGACCATGGAAGCAGGCAGGACTCATACAGGAGTCTTACTCCTGGGCAGAGATCCTTGGAAACTGGAATGAGGAACTTACCACCACCACCTCCACCTCCACCAAAAAGGCAAAAGAAATATCCCCCAAAAAGAGACTTCTGGGAGGGAAAGAAGGAGCCCTCACAATACAAGCAGGTTTTGTTATAACGCAAGAAATATAAGTTGAAGCTCCTTCTCAGATATCCTAACTCGCATTAATCCACATCACTCTTTTACTCTTGCCCCATCCAGAAACATAGCTAGGTCAATTTTTTAAAGTAAAAATGGTAGGAGAAAATTCCGTCAATTGTGGCAGTTGTCTAAAAATCAAGCTTTAGCTCCAAGAGGGAAAAAGAAGGCCAGATTAATAGCAAAAGAAGAAGATAATTCTAAAAGGACAATGCCACATAAGCTTAAAAAAAAAAAAGTAACTGAAACTTTTTTTCCCTCTTCAAAAAAATGTTGCCACAAAGGAAGGTACTCTGTACCCAGCATTGCGCTAGGTGCTGCTATTGAGAAAACACAGACCCATGAAGCACCTGCAGCCTTGAGTGCTTGACTATTACACGCCTTAAAGGAAGGAAACAGGCCTTGCAGAAAAGCCAGGTGGGAAGGGAGGACAGGACATTCCAGACTGGGGAGTAAGAGCAGGAACTGCAGCTTGGGAGGGCAGGAGTCATGAGGTATAAGCACACATAGGAATTTCACTCACATACCCATATCCACCAATGGACCAAACACGTTCAATTTCAGCTATGTACAACCAGACATGTGCCCAACCACCAATATTCCAGGAGACAAAAACACTTCAGCATCACAGAATAGTATCTGGATTATGCAGTGGTGGGTTTCTGGTCACCTTCTGCAAAGTGAAAGGAAAGAGAGGACTGCTTTCTGTCTGGGCCAGAATTTATAGTTTGAGAGGAGGGTAAGGGTGCTACCCTTTGCTGGCACTGTGTTTATGACTACAGTGAACCAACTACTTCAATTTATAAGTAAGTCACGAATAATCACTGATCTGTATGATGAGAACCACAGCCAATTCTCAGAGTCATCAAGGACACACAGATGAGATATGTACAAATACATATACATCTGTACACCCAGGATCTTGAATGATGTGGAGATTGGGTATAAAGGTAGACCTAAAAACCTGGGCCTTAGCCACTGGCCATGTGGAGAGCTGGTGATTCCTCCCACATCTCCACAACACCAACCCCTTCCCTTCCAAACAACTTAGCTTATTCACTGTCACCCAGAGTCAGCTTTCATGCCGCCAACCCCTGCTCATGCTGCTTAAACCACCTGGAATGCTCCCCAGCCACGTGTCCACCTTTACAAATCTTACCCACCCTTTGGAACTCAGTTCAACTCCTCTCTTCCTCTATAAGGTGTTTTGGAGTCAATCTAAGGCATCTCTCTCTCTTCTGAACTTACAGAACAATTTATATAATCACTTGACAAATAATCACCGAAGCTTTATAAGGCTTTTTCTTTCTTTCTTCCTTTCTTTCTCTTTTCTTTTCTTTCCTTCCTTCCTCTCTCTCTCTCTCTCTCTCTCTTTCTATCTTCTTTTTCTTCTAAGAGATAGGGTCATGCTCTATTATACAGGCTGGAGTACAGCAATCCTCCTGTCTCAGCCTCCTGATGTTGTTTTCTTGAACTATTCTTTAAATCACCCCCTAGAAAATTCCACCTTTCTCCACGTCTTCATTGAGATTCGCCCCTTTGAGAGGTAAGGAGCACATCTTGTAGTTCTTTGGATCCTCCTAGCTTATCTCCTAGAGTACCTTGCACACAGTACAATTAAATTGCAGTATTCAGCGTTGTGGCTCACACCTATAATCCTAGTGCTTTGGGAGGCCAAGATGGGAGGATTGCTTGAGGCCAGAAATTCAAGAACAGTCTGGTCAACATAGCAAGACCCCATCTCTAAAAAAGATAAATATTAAAAAATTGCAGCATTCTCTTCTCTACACATAGGAGTTGTTAGCCTCACCTTAGTAATCTATCTTGAGATTCAAACCTCACACTTAAGAGACTTAATGCTTTAGGAAAAAAAAAAAGCAGAAATTCTAAGTGCCTTCCCTCAATTTACTTATTAAAAAACTACATGAGTTTCAATTCTATTGCAGAGGAGTAGTCCTACAAACTAATGTAGCCCTGTTAGACTCTATGCCTTCAATTTCAAATTCTGAAAATTCTGCAAAAGCTCTGGCTGAGGTCATGTATTTGCTGGAGGTGACAGATGGAGGTTAAAATGAATGGCTCCATATTCAACTATTACTACAGTGTCTTGTATACAGTATGTACATAATAAATGTACCAATGTCTGAAAATCTGAAATGATTATAAGCCGAGAGTGACAAAATTATAAAGGCATTTCTCAAAGCACACAACTTATTTCCTGGGGGCAGGGGAGTAGAATCTCTTAATTTAAAACAACCTTAATCTATGAAATTGCTATGTAACTTACCCCTTTATCTATTTTACGTGCACTTGGGAAAACTTAAAACAGTTTTGCTAATATGGATTTGCCAGGCACTAATCTTTGAAGTTACAAACACATATTATTAATAATTCATTTAACCCTCAGGACAAACCCAATCCTACAGACAAGAAGACTGAGGCACAGAGAGGTTAAGTAACTTGCTCAAAAATCACAGCAAAAATGTAGTAGAACTAGAATTTTAATCTCAACAATCAGACTCTTAATCACTATGATAATGGGTATTGGTTATAGCTGATGTAGAAGTATGTCATTTTGATTAATATTTGAGGTGATTTCTACAAAAGTTGTGCATCCAAAACTTGATCAGAAACATAACATCCTATCATTATGTTGGTATGTAATAAATCTGATTGACCCCTGTCAACTGGATTGACAGAGGTAGTTAAAACTGCAAGTAGAGTTAAGCACCCAAGCCTAGATTATGATTTTTCATTTTATAAGTTTAAGGAGTGATGTTTAGCTATAAACCTTAGAAGAAATGGAGCCAAAGCTTGCAGGGAAACACACACACGCACACCAAAACTCAGCTATTTTGAAACTCCACTTACTTTAACGTTTAAGTCAAACTAAAACTGTTTACATATTACTCTATCAAGGGTGAAATAATCCCATGTAAAGGGCTTTCTAAAACAAATTCACATCTTGGAAGCCCATTTTGGGGCGATGAGTTGTGACTACGTTCTCAAGGATGTCAGTAACACAAGGGCTCCATCCACTAACTCCTTGAAAAAAACCAAAGCCATGAATGTCTTGTCAAATTCAGACAGTTTATCTTGGCACTGGCAAGTACACCAGTCTCTTCGATGTCTGGAAACGTGTCTAATTACGTTTAGAGAGTAACTAAAAAAATAGCCAGTGTCCCGGAACAGACAGCTCGGGGATCACTCCATAGCATCCTGAATGACAGGATGGAACTACGCCAGAAGAAAGAAAGAAAAGAAGCAAGTGTAAAGCCGGGACGAGACGCCAGCCTCTCTCTAAAATAACCCTGAGTCCTCCTAGGGCCTTCGGGGCCACCGCAACTCTCGCTCAAGTTATTTCTCTTCAGTTTCCATGAGGTCACCGGCCCGCCCACATCCCTCACCTGGCGCGGGGAAGCGCGCCCTTCGCGCGGCACACCCCCTGCACCCAAACCCAGGACAGCGCCCAGGGCTCCCCTCTCAGGGAAGCCCGGCCCCTGAGCTCGACACGCCCCCCGCACCCCAAAGCGGCCGCACCCAGGGGCGTCCGCTCTCGGGAAAGCGCAGCTGCGGAGCTCGGCAGACCCCCGGACACGGCAGCCCGGCCGCCCCTCCATCCCTGGAGCTTGGGCGCCCCCCGACACCCCGGATCCGGCCGCGCCCGGAGGCGCCCCCTCTCGGAAAAGCGCAGCCTCGCGCCCCTGCGCGCGGCCGCTCCGCCCTCACCTGAGCCTGAGGTTGGCCATGAACTCGGGCATGGAGACGGTGTCCATCAGCACGAAGTCCGCCTTGCCGAACTCCAGGCTCTCCTGCTCCGCCATGGCGCCGGCGCGGGGACTCAGGTGGGCGCGCTCGGGCCGCCGGGGCCGCTCCGGGGGCCCGCGATGAGCTCGGGAGGGGACGGGGCGAGGCCTCGCCGCGAGGCTACGGGGAGGGGGCGCGCACGCCGCTCGGCGGGTCCGGGCCGGACGGAGGCCGCCCCCCTGCTCCTCGGCGCCTTCTTGGCCGGCGCGGCTCCGTACGGGACGCACCCGGCAGTTTCCGCTCCTCCCGCCGCGGCTGCCGGGCGCTGTAGGGGCCGGGACACCGAGACAGAGACGGCGGCGGCTGGTCCCGCCTCCGGCCTGGGGCTCGCCCCGGCTCCGCCCCGCCCAGGCCTCCCGACTCCGCCCCGCCTGGCCCACTGAGGAGCCCGCCCCAGCCGCGGCCCTGGCCACCGCCTCTTCACCTGGGCGGCGCGCACGCGCGGGTGGGCGGCGGGGACGCGCGCTGGGCCGGGCGGCGGCAGCTGGGCGGCAGCGCCCCCTGGGGACAGGCGCTGGGATCTCAGGCGGCCAAGAGGATGGCCGCCTGCCGCGCACACTTGGTAGCTGCCAACAAAGTTAGAAAATGTGGCACATATACACCATGGAATACTATGCAGCCATAAAAAAGGATGAGTTTGTGTCCTTTGTAGGGACATGGATGCAGCTGGAAACCATCATTCTTAGCAAACTATCACAAGAACAGAAAACCAAACACCGCATGTTCTCACTCATAGGTGGGAACTGAACAATGAGATCACTTGGACTCGGGAAGGGGAACATCACACACCGGGGCCTATCATGGGGAGGGGGGAGGGGGGAGGGATTGCATTGGGAGTTATACCTGATGTAAATGACGAGTCGATGGGTGCTGACGAGTTGATGGGTGCAGCACAGCAACATGGCACAAGTATACATATGTAACAAACCTGCACGTTATGCACATGTACCCTAGAACTTAAAGTGTAATAATAATAAAAAATAAATAAATAAATAAATAAATAGAAAAGTAGTTCGTGGAGCTTTTCGCGAGGACAATTCAGTATGATTCTGTCACCCTGCTCCAAAACCCACTCCCGCCTCTCTACTCACACCCTGCCCATTTTTGAAGTGGTGGTTCAAGCACAGACTGAAAGATAATAATAATGGCTAACATTTTGGAGGCACCAAAAATGCCCAGAGCTGTTCTCAGCGCCTTAGAGAACTTTTAACAAACTTTCCACACGACTAGGAAGTGGAGCAGCTGCGGTTTTACGCAGGTCATTTGACTTAGGAGCCGCAGCGTTCAACCACATCTGACTACCTCCAATCTCCAATGGCCCATTTTCTCTTCCACTCATCCGAGCATTTCATCAGACATGACCTTATATGATTATTAAGTTTTTAATATATCTATGTATCATCTCTCCAGGATTATTGCAGATGACTTGAGCATGGGACCATCCTTTGGGCATCCACCAAATAGCTATTGTACTACTTTGCGTATATAAATATGAAATCCATATTGGTTCAATGGAATGAAGTGAGTTGTAAGTAGTCTCCAATTTATTGACACATTGGTTGAGCTTGGAAAATTGTTTTTGAACTTAGAATGAGTTTTCCCAAGGAAAATATACTACAAATGACTTTCTTTTCTTTCTTTCTTTTTTTTTTTTTTTCTTTTTCTAGAGACAAATTATCCCTCTGTCACCCAGGCTGGAGTGCAATGGTGAAATCACAGCTCACTGCAACCTCAAACTCCTGGGCTCAAGCAATCCTCCAGCCTCAACCTCCCGAGCAGCTAGGACTACAGGTGTATGATACCATGCACAGCTATTTTTTTAAATAAATGACTTTCTAAGGTATCTACATTTATTCAGTCCTGTGTTCCTGTTAGGACATCTTCTATTACAAAATCTACTACGAAATCTAGAGGCCTCCAAGGACCTGGCTGGGCTTCAACTCTGCGTGAGTTTGAGATGAGTAAACCAGACTGAAGGACCTTGCCCAAGGCCTACTTCAGCTGCCAGCCATCCACGCTTGCCAAGAGAAAGGAAAGTGGCTTTGTCACCTCCTGAGGGACTGCCTTTGACATCAGAAAACCACCCCAAACCCTGGCACCAGCAGAGCTGGGCTGCATCTGACTACGTTAGCAGCTGTCCTTCAGAAGGAGGAGATCCACCTGTCTGGATCTCAGTGTCCTCATTCGTGGAATAAAAGCTCTGGAATAAGGTAGGACTGACCTATGGTTGGGTCATTTGTGGAGATGTCGGTCAGTGGCTAAGTAGGTTATTGCATAGGGTATGGCTGTATTCCTAATGTTTGTATTGGCATGTTTAAACATAAGCAGAACTGAACTTCAAAACGGAAAGAAAGAAATCTCGAACTGTGTGACTTTGGAGTATCCAGGGACCACACCCCAAAACCTATTGGTAAATTACATGTCTGTGTTCCCTGAGCCCTTGTGGGTGTTAAAAATTAGGGCAAAATCCCAGGTTCCAGGAAAAGAAACATCACGGCTTGCAGACTGAGAGGGTTGCAGAAATTGTACAGTGGGTAGGAGCTATGGTGGGATACAATGTGGTTTCCAAATGGCCAAAGTAAGAGATCCTGATTTTAATCAACATCTTATATAGGAACCCAACATATAAAACACATATACAACATATGCAAAGGGTATTTTATTAATTTCTTGTTTAAGTCCAAATTAATGTAAAATTAGGCATTGATGCTCTCTTGATGAACCCAAATCTTTCAATGGGGCTCACTATTAGCCTCAGGATTCCAGTTTACTTTTGTATGTTGTTTTTATTGTACAGTGTCAAGGAAATTCTGGTTTGTATAACTACGCAGTAATTTGTTACCCATACAACTTTACATTCAGCATTTCTAGGCCAATGTGCAGTTACAACCTTATTAATCAATGGCACACTTGAGCAAAGTTCAGGTATATGCAAAGCTGGCAGGAGAGACAGAATGCTGAGGTCTGTATTCAGTCGAGGTAACCTAGAGCAGATTAGCTCATTATGCACGTTCTCGGTGACAAAATTTGAGTAGAAACACATTTGGAGATGCATGTTTTTGTTACAGTTTAAAATATACTAAAAATAAAACAAATAAGTTTATATCCCCAATCATGAGACGCACAGACACCATGAGCCTCCTGATGTGATCTCCTGAAAAAGACACGTATCATTGACCTGCTAAAAATACATAAATGGAATCTAATCACGAAGAAACATCAAACAAACTCACATTAAGGGACATCCTACAAAACAATTGACCTGTATTCTTCAAAAATATCAATGGTGTGAAAGACAAAGAGGCTGAGGCACATCACAGTTAAAGGCAATGTGTGATTCTGGACTGGATCTCCAACCAGAAAAGTGTAAAGGACATTATTGGGATAATTGGTGAATTTCAAATATGGACTCGATGTTAGATAGTAGAATAGTATCAATGTTAGTTTTTCTGAACTTGATCATTTTACTGGGATTCTGCAAGATAATGTCCTCGTTTCTAGCAGATATCTGCTAAAGTATTTAGGAGTAAAATGATGTCTCAAACTGTTTGGCAAGAATAATAAAAATAATAATAAGGAGATGAGGAGGTGGAAGGAGGGTATGGATATATGTTGGTAGACATATAAATGATTAAAACAAATGATGCAAAATACTAACAACTGGTAAAGTCGTTAAAAATATATGGGACTTTTGAGGGATTTTCTTTTGTACTATCCTCACAACTTTTCTGTAACTTTGAAATTAGTTTGAAATTTATTTATTTTATTTATTTATTTATTTATTTATTTATTTATTTATTTATTTTGAGACAGAGTCTCGCTGTGTCGCCCAGGCTGGAGTGCAGTGACACGATCTTGGCTCACTGCAACCTCCACCTCCAGGGTTCAAGCGAGTCTCCTGCCTCAGCCTCCTGAGTAGCTGGGACTACAGGCATGTGCCATCATGCTCGGCTAATTTTTGTATTTTTAGTAGAAACGGGGCTTCATCATGTTGGTCAGGCTGGTCTCAAGCTCCTGACCTCATGATCTGACCACGTCAGCCTCCCAAAGTGCTGGGATTACAGGGGTGAGCCACCATACTCGGCTTGAAATTTAAACTTAAAAATTAAATAGCAATCTAAAACTGTCCTAAAATAAAATTTTTTACTTTAAAAAAATTAAATAGCACTTAGAAATAAAAGTCACATCAGAATTTTGCAAACCTTCCAGAACTGAAGAACCAGCAGATATTTTTGAAAACCCTGGTCCAGGGTACTTCTTAGCTCTGTTTGGCATAGATGTGCTAGGAGATTATAAACACTGAACAGGTAATTCTAAAAACAAAAATAATTAGATGTCAAATATATCCATATACCCTGGAGAAGGTGCATCCTGTTCTCTGCCTGAAATTCTCCCTGCCACCCCACCCCTCACTCCTATGACCTAGCTAACTTCTGCTCATCCCTCCGCTCTCAGTCTCAACATCACTTCCTCCAAGAAATGTTCCATAATCTCCTAAATCAGAATTGGCTGTTCCTCCTCTCATACAGCATCCTGGAAGTGCTGCCCCCATTATAGCACTAAATGCCCTTGAGCCTATTGTCCATCTCTCTCACTTGTTTTTAAGGGCCATGAGGGCTGGAAGCTGTCTTTTCTGTTTTTTGATGTAAACGTAACTCTGGCACCTCCTAGCATAGTGCCTAAGAGATGAAGTGCTTAATAAACACTTGCTTGATAAATGAATATGAAATGGTCTATGAACCTATGTGTCATAAAATGTGAGACTGTGAATCCATCCCCATTGGTAGATTTTCTGCGTTGCAAATTAGTCGTTGTACAACATTAACCTCAGTCTCATCTCCTGCCCCGGAAGCAGATCTCAGGGCTGTGTTTGTTTTTGCCCTGGGGCCAGGCCTGCACACTGTGTGTTCACACTGACCAAAAGCTGCTGTTCCAAAAACCCTTCAGCAGTTACCAGTGGCTGCAGAGGGTCTACTTTTGATGATCCACGAAAATCAACCCTGAATTTTCCACCGCAAATGTTTATTCCCATTCAACTTTCCCAGAATGTTTCTGGGCTGCCCTGCCCTCCCTCCCTTTACCAGGGGATCTGCATCCAAGGAAGACGACTCTTTCAGCATGAGTCTGGCAAGACAGAAACAGAATGGCTAGGAAAACAACAACAACAACAACAACAATAGTCACACAGTGTATTCTAAGGGCATTTTATAAATTTATTTTATAATCCCATATTATCACAGAGCAGAAGTAGAAAGGCAAATATATCTTGCAAAATAACCTCATTATGTACTTACAGCCATATAGAAATGATTTGGAACTCTGCCTTAGAAAATATCCAAAACATACCTCCTCCTCTTTACTGCATGACCCTGGATTTGAACTAAGAATGATACATCAGAAATAGCATATGTACTTTTCATGGTTTCTGAAGCCTAAAAATTATTTAAGTATAAAGAGACCTGACAGTTGGCTCTCTGATGTCATTGATGACTTTTACCCACCTGTAGAGTCCCCTCTCTCCCCTAACCCCCCACCTGACAATATAGACATCTCACAGGACAAAGGAAAGGGAGTTTTCATGGCAGGGATCACTACCCTAAACCATCCTGAAAGCCCAAAAAGTGATTTTTAAAGTTCATCTTCTCACCTCTGACTCTTAAAGACAGAAGACTAGCCAGCCAATTGCTAATGACTTGGCTTTGAGTTCTAGAGACTTCTTTTCCCCATTGTTCCTGTGGTCCAGCTATGCTTACCTGTGATGGTGTTGAGTTGGGGACAGGAGTCACTGTGATACCACAGACAGAGCTCCTTTTAACTAATGAAGCTAAGCACAGAGGGAGTTGGGAGATGTCAGCTGAAGAGGGGAGGAGATAGAGGAGGAAGAGAAGGAAGGAGCTACTACTACAAGGGTGTCCATAGCAAGAGGAGAGTAGCAAGGTACTGCTTCTCAATTTTAGGTTTCATCATCCTTTAATAAAAAGTGTGGACTTCCAGCTGGGCACAGTGGCTCACGCCTGTAATCCCAGCACTTTGAGAGGCCTAGGCGGGTGGATCATGAGGTCAGGAGTTCAAGAGCAGCTTGGCCAACATAGTGAAACACCATTTCTACTAACATTACAAAAATTAGTTGGGCATGGTGGTGACCACTTGTAGTCCTAGTTACTTGGGAGGCTGAGGCAGGAGAATTGCTTGAACCCAGGAGGCAGAGGGTGCAGTGAGCTGAAATGGTGCCACAGCACTGCAGCCTGGGCAGCAGATCGAGACTCTGTTTCAAAACAAAACAAAACAAAAAACACCTGTGGACTTTTTCTCTTGAGACACATATATTAAGCACATACACAGAACAGTTTGCACATGGGCCACCTCTTCACCTCCACCGCTGGAAGTAACCTCTCTTCTATGGGCCCCAAGTTAAGGACTCCTGAGCTAAGGGAAAGATCACACCACAATTCCTGATTGTTATGGAATGGAGAAGAATTGTAGCAAGCCATTACCGTCAGTATCCTGTGAGTCACCAGACAGGGACTGTCCCAATAACTCATCCCCCTGTGTGGGCAGACAAGCCACAGATGTAAGGCCACAGGAAAGATAGAATCAGAGGGTGGAGGCGGACAACCTGCAACTGCTTCCAAAATTATTCCTGCTAGCTATGACGTAGTTTCTGACTATAAACATTGAAAGGGAATGCATCTTTTCAGTAATTATG